CATGTAAATGAGCTGACATGCATGATGAACGGTTCATGCAGTTATCAGAAAGGCTTCAGGTGTTCCTCAGGGTCACACTGGTTTACATTTACATGACTTATTTTGATCTTTCACAAGTTTCACAATGTTTAGACCAGCTGATGTTTTATGACCTCTCTCTCTCTCTCTCTCTAAACGTTTGTCCCTTTTTTAAAATTTGTTTCCCTTTCATTTCTGCCTCTTCATTCACATTTTCTCCCCCTCTTACCCCTCTCCTTCTCTCTCTTCCTCCCACAGAACTCCACGGGCATCACCGTCCCGAAGCCTCCCAAACCTCCAGACAAGCCCCTGATGCCTTACATGCGGTACAGCCGGAAGGTAAGCAGGAAGGTAAGACACCCATCCACGGTGTCTGCTTTTACTGCTTGTCCTCCCATCCCCCAAACAGTTGCAGGGGCGTTAGGGTGGGAAACAGCCGAGCCATGACGCCTTCACCACCACCTCAGCCGCCTAGTGGACACTCACAGTACTCTCCTGTGTTTGTCGACCTAACAGAAAATTTACAGCTTCTCGTTGTCTTTGTGCTAGCATGATCTGCGCCTCATTTCCCCCTCTGTGCTTGTCGCTTCTCTCGTCTCCTGCTTCCAATTTAAAGACAAAATCTACAATTTAGACTCTTATTGATATAAAGCTAGTGATTCTGTCTGAACAAATATTTCATTTCATTCCATCCAGACTTCTGCAACACTCCAGACTTAAGTCCAGTTAATAATTCTGTTCGAAGACGCTTTTAATTTCTTGCCTCTGCACTTTTCCTCCTTTGTTTCCTTCACTATTTTATATTTACTGACCTGTTGTGTTTACCTGTAGTGACCAGCTGTTGTCTCTGTGTGTGTGTGTTGGTCGTTGTTCCTGCATGTGTGTGTGTGTGTTTTGTTTGTGTGCACATTAAAAGGTATGGGACCAAGTGAAGGCATCCAACCCGGACCTGAAGCTGTGGGAGATCGGAAAGATCATCGGGGGGATGTGGAGGGACCTGACGGACGAGGAGAAACAGGACTACCTGAACGAGTACGAGGCTGAGAAGGTGAGGCGACACAGAACTGAGTGTAGAGGAAGACAAAGACACGCCCCCTAAAGTACAGTTTAGAGTAGCTGCAGGTGAATCCTCATTCAGTCAGATCTTAAATATTCAAAAGCTCAATCATCTATGAAAAGGCAATCTGTGAAGGCTGTGACCATCAGACTGCAGGAGCACACAAGAAGTTGTATTTTCCTGCTCACCTTGCCCCCCCCTTCCACAGATTGAGTATAACGACTCTCTGAAGGCATACCACAACTCCCCCGCCTATCTGGCCTACGTCAACGCTAAGAATCGGGCGGAGGCGGCGATGGAGGAGGAGAGCAGACAGAGGCAGAGTCGGATGGACAAAGGAGAGCCGTACATGAGCATCCAGCCGGCTGAAGACCCCGACGGTCAGTTACACATCCATGTTTATCGTTAATAAAGTTTATCCCCCGCCCCCCTCCCTTCATGTCAGTCAGCTCATGGTTTCCTTTTCCTCCGCCCAGACTACGACGATGGGTTTTCAGTGAAGCACACGGCAGCTGCTCGCTTCCAGAGGAACCACCGGCTCATCAGTGACATCCTCAGCGAGATCGTGGTGCCTGACGTGCGCTCCGTGGTCACGACCGCCCGCATGCAGGTCCTGAAGAGGCAGGTCCAGTCCCTAATGGTGCATCAGGTGCGTTTGATCGGCTCTTTTCATGCTCGTTGACTGATTTCCTGTTGACCTCAGAGGCTCACCTGATCTGTGCGTGTGTTTCAGAGGAAGCTGGAGGCGGAGCTTCTGCAGATTGAAGATCGGCACCAAGACAAGAAAAGACGCTTCCTGGAGACCACGGACTCCTTCAACACTGAACTCAAGAGGGTATGCGTCTGAGTACATTTGAGCAGCAGGAATAAAGTTGTCAGCAAATGACTTCCAAATACCAGCTTCAATTTTTTCTTTATTCATTTAAAGCTGTTACTTTACCCATGATTCCGTTGTCTCCAGCTGTGCAGTCAGAAGGTGGAGGTGGACATGGAGAAGCTGGCAGCAGAGATGGCCGCAGCCGAAGAGGCGGCTCGGCGGCGGGCGGAGGAGAGAGAGCGCGAGGCGGCCGAGCAGGCGGAGAAAGCCGCTCAGCAGGCTCAACAACAGCAGCAGCAACAAGAGGCGGCTGGAAACAAAGCTACTGAGCAGAGCAGTGCTAATGCTAACAGCCCAGCTAACCCCACCTCAGGGACCAAGGAGGAGGACAAGCCCACACCTATGGAGACAGGTATGAAGTCCCTCAAATCAACAGTTCTCAAACCTTTTTAATAAAAACTGTTTGGATTTGCAGCTCAACGTGTTCGACATGTGTAATGAGAGTTTGACTAACTGTCGCACCTTCGCAGAAGTTTTGACTTGTTTTAGTGATTTTCAAATTTCTCTTTTATTTTCATCCCTCCCCAGATGAGGCGGCCCCAGCAGAGCCCTCCTCAGACCCCCAGCCTGCTCCTCCTCCTCCATCTGACCCCCCTCCTCTGCCTCTGATAAAGCCAGTCCTCCCCCCGAGCCCCCCAGGGAGACCAGCACTCCCGTCAGCAGCGCCCCCAGTGACGACAGCAGCAGCAGCAGTAGCAGCAGCATTCCCGCCCCCTCCTCAGAGAGCACCCCCCCTGCAGCTGCAGCCCCAGCGGCCCCCGAACCCCCCGCTGCACAAGAAGCTAGCCCTGCTAACGTGGCTGCACCTCCACCTCCACCACCCCCTGCCTCAGAGGAACCAGCCCCCCCACCGCCGCCACCACTACTGCCCCCCAGCCAGAGCGGTGGTCAGCAGTACGACATGTAACGGATTCACAACTTTAGCTTCTTCGTTCTCTGGAGGAGATTTGATTAATTACATCATCAAACATTTAATTCCTTTAAATTTACCCAGCATGCCTGGTTCCAATACATAATAATAAATAATAAAATGTCACCAAAGAGGGCATCAGTGACCCGCCCACCTCGGTGCTGCAGACATCGTACGAGCCATTCCTCTGACCACGTCCCATGATGCAGTTTGTTAGTCGGACATTCAGCATCGTGAACACCTGCACATCCACCTTCACAACATCACAGTGAATAAAAGCTCGAGAAGGACAGGACTACAACTCTTCTCATATTTTGATATTTAAGAGAAGTTAAACACAGGGATTAAACGTCATCAGCCTCGATAGTCAGCCCTCGATGTTTGTGTAATGCATCTAAAGGCCAGTAGAGGGAGCTGTAGCCAAAGACTGGCTGCAGCTCCGGTTAATCAGCGATCTCTCTTGACTCTAATACATAGATGTAAACAATCACAGTGAACAGATAGTACGACAGTTTGTCCGTATTCTGATCTATAGCATGGAGATTAAGTCGTTTTATTGACCTGAACAATAACGGATTCAGACTTTCTAAAAATCCTCATGATGTAGATGTTTCAGGATCCTCTCAGCCGATTCATTATCATTTAATTTGAGTAAAAAGCATCCTTATATTCTGGTGTCATTGCGCTGTAGAAAGAATTCATCCGACATGGACGCTCCAGTATTAACAGTGAAAGTTCAAACCTCAAAACGCCCTCTGTGGAGACGTGGATGTAGAAACCTTTAAATCAGTGCCAGCTGCAGACCTGTAAGGGTTTTAGTCTGTGAAGTATGAAATCTCAGCGTGTCTTCTGTCAGTGAAGGGCGACCTCGCATGAAAGGACCTCGACCTTTAACCCCCGTTTGAAACCTCCAGACTTTTGTAGTTTTGAGTTTGTGTGATTTGCAGAACTACTACTGTTGCTTCTGCTTTGTTTTTTAGAGATCTAGTGGAACCTTTTTAGAAGAATATAATCAGCCGTCTTATTAAAGAACCCAGGTGAGACTTTAAGCATGGAGGCGGGCACATTTCATGACCAGTGCACACACATCCTGCATGCTGTAAGAACTATACTAACCTGAACCTGCTGTTTGAACAATGAGAGAAGAGTAGAGGCCCAGAGAGAACGGCTCAAAGGTGCTTTAATAATCCCAGGGTGATGAAGTGGGTGTGACCGCTAGAGGAACCGCTCGCTCTGTCAACCGAACACTCTCCAGATGATGTTCAGATTTATTTTAATCTCCTCCTCCTGCAGGTGTAACCTCGCTCTGCGTTTCAAAGGACTCTTTTCTTACTCGGACTGTTTTTAGTAACACGCCTGTTTTTTTTGCATCTTTCTTTTGTACTGTCTGAACTTTATCGACCCTAATAAAAAGATTTCTCTGTCTTTTCTTTCTTTCTTCATTTACTCAGATTACAGATTTTATTTATAGGACGGGGACTTTATTATGGTACGAGTTAAAAATCCTGACAGCGAAGTACCAGAGATGTCCACAAGGTGGCGCACAAACATGCAGGACATCCCTCCCGACGGTATCTTTAAATCAGTGTGTTATTCTAAGAGGAAAGGCTGCAAACATGGAGAGCTGCTTTAAAAAGTGTGAACAGTTTTGGTCACATAATCTCAATAACTGAGTCAAAGATAAATAATTAATAAGATCATAAAGAAAAGTAAAAATGTCTGAAACGTGAGGAGATCAAAGTCAAACTCTTCAATCCCCTCCATTCTTTCTCACTGTTATTGTTTATTGAGTTTATTAATTATTCCCACATTTATTTACAATCATATAAAAACGTCTCCTCAGTTTGATTACAGTCCTAACATCCACCCAGTGTGACAGAAGAAACAGGAAGAGCAAAACAACCTTTCCTCAAATACCTGCAGAGAAGACACTCGTTGGTTTTCCCATGTTGACAGACTTTAGTGCTGTCAGATAAATACAAAATAAAATGAAATGCTTCCTCTGAAAACATTTTCTCTTGTGTCTCTGTAAAGTTATGAGGGAGCTGCAGGTGGGTGTCACCTGTTCTGTGTTTGGGCGTCACCGGCTGTGTGTGTGTGTGTGTGTGTGTGTGTGTGTGTGTGTGTGTGTGTGTGTGTGTGTGTCGGTGGGAGGAGAAGCTCACCGGAGCGCACACACACACACCGATGGTTCCTGTCGGTAACCATGAGCCACCGGCCCCGCGCGCTCTGCTGCCTCTCCCTCGCGCTCGTCCTGGTGGCGGCGGAGTACTCCTCTTCAAAGACCGACCTGGACTACGAGTTCGGGGACTACCGGGGGAAGTGGTGCATCGACGACCACGGCTTTGTTTACGGCATTGGAGAGATTTACTACCCGAGCCCCTCCGCGTGCCCGTGCACGTGCACCGTGGACGGTCCGGTGTGCGTGCGCCCGAAATGTCCACGCATCCATCCCCGGTGCACGCGGATCAGGTACAGAGCGTGCTGTCCGGTGTGTGAGGCCATGGCCCGGGTCTGTGTCTACGCGGGAAAAACGTACCGACTCCTGGAGGAGTTCAGGGTGAGTTCCAAACTTTACCCCCCCCCCTTCCCCGCTTCTCTGTCCCATTCACACCATCACTCCAGATTTACGCACACCTCTGGGGGAGCGCTTACCTGGATAGGTGCTGCTTGCTGACGTCACTGTGACTGATTCTGTCTGCATGTGATGTAAACTCAGCAGTGATTCTCTTATCAGTAGATTTTTCTGTGTTTATGTTTTGTTCATCATGACGTCATAGTTCCTCCTGTTTATGACACTTTAAAGGTGGAGTCAGATTGTAAACTCTGACTTTCTGCAGAATAAATACGAGGAGGCTGGAGGAGAAACTCCGGGTGAAGTCAGAGTGTGAAAGCACTGCTGCAGTTACCTTGCTTTCCTCTAGGTGGCGTTCTATTGGTCCCTTATTCAAATGAATGCACGCTTAAATAAGACGGCTGTTTGTGCTGTTGCGTCATCATGTTAGACCTCAACAGTTACATAAACACAGAGAGCTTCCAGGCAGTCCTGTATCAGGGGCAGGTCAGCTGTGTGTGTGTGTGTGTGTGTGTGTGTGTGTGTGTGTGTGTGTGTGTGTGTGTGTGTGTGTGTGTGTGTGTGTGTGTGTGTGTGTGTGTGTGTGTGTGTGTGTGTGTGTGTGTGTGTGTGTGGGGTCATTGACTGTTTTGTCACGTGCATGTTGCAGTAATCCAGACAGACTGTTTGATTGGATCTGCCTCGTATTAAAGCGTTCATTAAAAACACTTTGTACGGTTTGTGTGTTTCAGTTGTCCCGGTGTGAGCGTTGTCGCTGTGAAGCCAACGGAGAGGTGTACTGCAGCATCTCAGACTGCCCCGCCCCTCACTGCGTCAACCCCACCTACGAGCCCAACCACTGCTGCCCCATCTGTAAGAGCGGTGAGACTCACTCACAACTGCACACCATCACTCAAACACCGAGCGATCAAGAAAAGGTTTCAGTTCACAAACACACCAGAGACTCGCTCTGTTCAGAACCACCAAACATGAACTAAAGGACCAATCAGTGAGCAGTGTAGAGAGTGAAATGATAAAGTGATCTTACTATATGATCAGACATTAAGGAAACATGCTATGTTGAAGTGCTGGCTTCTCTGACAACAATGCAGCAGCCAGTATGTCCTCCTTCTAACTTTAGATTCTGGTCCTGAATGCTCTGGATTTGTTTGGACCAGAGAAGGTAGTCGCTTTTAAGGCCCCCCCACACGGCCGTTTTGGATGCCCCTCTGTTTGACAGATATGAGAGCAGTTATCAGGTCAACAGGTGTTGCAGCGATGGAAGCGGGCAAGAGAAGTGGTTCAGATAGAAGTGATTGTACCCGACCTAAAAAGCCTCTGCATGTTTCTAATAAGCTCCACGAGCAGAAACGTGCTCAAACTAGGATCAATATTGGAGATGCTTTTGAAAAAATGGAGAGAGGTTAGAACACAGAAAGGTTTACAGACCCATGCAGAGCTGGCTAAATACTGACGCTTCAGAGTCCACCACACGGTGACCTGTGTTAGCATCAACTCTAGAGAGGAGGGGGGAGAGACAGCTCTCTACAAAGCCCTGTCTAAATGTTACAGATGTTTTCTTTAAAACAGATGTTCTCCTGTACTTTCCTGTCTCATAAAGACTTTTAGAAATGGCCTCCTCGTGTTTTGGTTTTGAGTCGGCTCTGAATCCTCCGTTAATCCGTCTCCATCTGTGTTTGTGAATCATCATCCTCCTCCTGCGCTGCTACAGGAAGCTCTTAGCAGGAGCACACGACCACACAACCACATGTGATGTCATAGTAACACACATACACACTCTAATGAGGCTTCCTGAGTGTGTTGTTATCTGTCGTGTGTGCAGCAGTTACGTCACCGCACACACAGCTCACTGTTATGTCATACATGTTTCCACTGCTACAGGCATCAATGTTTGTGTGTGAGTGTGTGTGTGTGTGTGTGTGCGTGCGTGTGTGTGTTTCTGTGTGTGCGTATTTGTGTGTCAGTGTGTGTTTTTCTTGTGTGTGTGTGTTTCTGTGTGTGCGTATTTGTGTGTCAGTGTGTTTTTCTTGTGTGTGTCTGTTTGTGTGTGTTTGTGTGTGTGTGTGTGTGTGTGTGCGTGTGTGTGTGTGTTTCTGTGTATGCGTATTTGTGTGTCAGTGTGTTTTTCTTGTGTGTGTCTGTTTGTGTGTGTTTCTGTGTGCGTGTGTGTGTGTTTCTGTGTATGCGTGTGTGTGTGTGTGTGTGTGTGTGTGTGTGTGTGTGTGTGTGTGTGTGTTGTGTTTCTGTGTGTGCGTGCAGCAGGGATATCAGCAGCTCTCTTTCCTTCATCATTGAATCAGGAGCGTGTGAAATGAAACCCGGCGTGTTCTCTTCAGACAAACAGGAAGTCAAACTTTGGTTGTAGTTCATAACTTCATGTTTATCTTCCTCATCTTCTTCCTCGTCGTCGTCGGTGGGACAGATGGTTCAGTTTGTTGCGTCATCCTTGCTCAGCTGTCGGATCTGGCAGCAGATGAGATGGACGTCCGGTCCTCCTGCTGGCGGCCGGTGGTAATTGTTTCTCAGGTAGCTGCCAAAGCAAAGGAACCTCCATCTGTGGCTGGTGATATTTAAAGCAGCTTGTTTACATTCGAGCTTCATATTCAGTCTGAACGGATTTTTAATTTATACTCAGAGGGAGAGGAGTCAGGAGAGTTTATTTATGTCATTTATTACTTTTCCTGTTTGCAAGAATTTAATTACAATTGTTATAGACCTTTAGTTTTTGAAGTTTTATTTCCCTTCCATTTCAGTGAGAACTTTGATATTTTGCTCCTATTCAGTCAAATATTGAATATAACCAAAATATCAAAGCTGTCATTGAAATTTGAGCAGACTTTACTTTAATTTTCTCAAAAACTTTACAGTAAAATCTCCTGACAATTCTCAGGATAACATTACGGGACACGAGGAACAGGAATTCATTAAAAGTTTTTTGTCACGTGTCACAGATTTTTCAAAATAAAATATTGAATAAGATAAGAAGACGAGAAGAAAAATGAAGAGTTATTTCCTCTCCCCCATGCGCAGAGCGTAGGTGGTGGTTGGCCGTCGGCTGCAGTCTTTGCTGTCGGGTCAGGTGAAACTTTTTGGCCAAGACGAGAGGCGACGTGAGGCGACGAGAGGCGACGCCACAGGCGGCCTTTATCGCCACTTGTTCCTCGCCGTCTGCAATCTGTTTGTTTAAAGCTGTATTTATTTCTTTATTTGGGCCAATAGGGGGCAGCAGAACAAAACCCTTTAAGCACAACAACATATAACCACGTAGTGAGGCCGGGTGGCGGTGGCAGTGGGCGCCATCAGTCACCCCAGACGTCTCCTCAGTGATCAAGCTCCTCCTGAGGCGACCTCAGTGACCTCTGGGTCAGGGTTAGAGATTTAGAGGAACATATGAAATATATGATACGATATGAATTGAAATGTTTAATTAAAGAAACGTTCATCACTACCGACAGTGCAGAAAGACGGTTTTGAAGGTTTCTGTGCTCAGGTTGAGATTTCAGAAACATTAATGATAAATAAATAAATGTATTATGTCATCTCGTGGCTCCGCCTCCTTCAGGTCCAAACTGCTTCGCGGGGAACAGAGTGATCTCAGCGGGGGAGCGCGTCAACGTCGACGAGCGCACCGTTTGTTTCTGCACCTACAGGGACGGGACATGGCACACACACCCACAGGCCACCTGCGAACAGCGCCCCCTGCCCAGCCCCACGCCCAGCGTCCGCACCGAGCCCCCCAGGGAGGAGAAGACCAGGGGGAGAGGGGGCAGCGGGTACATCCCCCGACTGGATCTGATCCCATGAGATGGTTTAATCAGGGTCAATAAAACGCTTACTTTGATTATTAGAAACAGGAGACAACGGCACAGTTTGTTTTTAAGATCGTCTCCTTGACAGCCACCGAAATGTAAACAAGCTTTTATTTCTCAGTTCACCCTGAAGGTGTTCAGATGTCCTGGTTTATTCCTCTCTTCCTGCACACGTGCAAATCTACAGTCCGTCCACAGTAGGCCCAGTTACTTGCCACGCCCAGAAAACCTCCCATCATGCCCCTGGGGAAAGTGGGAGGAGTCAGAGTGTGAGGTTAATGTATCGGTTATTTACAGTAGGTGACTCCTGCAGGAGGCCGCTTGGCTTCTCTCCACCGACCTGCTGGTTTCCGTCTGTAGGCCGAGCGAGGCCGGAGGTGTCCAAGTAGACCACACACACACACACACACACACACACACACACACACACACACACAGGAATGAACGTGTGAGCAGAAATGATTCAAAGACTTCCTGGCGAGCAGATGGTGTATAAATGTAAATGTAAACATGTTGGTAAATACCGCACGTCACTTATATTCTGTATAGATATATAGACACAGATTATAAACATACAGATCTGTAATGAGTCAGTTTGAGATGTGATATCATGAAGAGAAAATCTCCAAACAGCCTGTTTGTGTCTTGCTGCTTTTTCTCCAAATATTTAATCTGCTAACTAATCAGCCCTTAAAGCATCGAGGCCTCTAACCTTCACTGAGAGCTGAGGGGAGTTAAAGAGGGCGGGGTCTTATACTGGGGTGGGCTTTTATTTAAAGTTTTACGGTACTTTGTTTGTGTTCGCGGCAGAAATGGATTTAAATTAAATAAAATAGCAAACTCAAACACTCTAAGTCCGCACTGCTAAAAGTTCTCTGACTGTTCAAATGTAACTCAGGTTGAAACTCTTCTGTGGTTTTTATTCACAAAAGTGATGATTGTCAATGTGCCGCCCATATATGGAGCTTCCTCTTTCATGTGGTCTGTTGTGTTTCTCATCTGTAAAGTCTTAACCGTAATATTTAGTCTGTGGTATACACTGATGTTCATGTGTTCATCTGAGATGCAGGTCTCTGTACTTTATCAGGTGACAACACCGCCCTCTAGTGTCCGTCTGAGGAAGTGTATTAAACAGATGCAACAAAAAACATGTTTCATCAAACACCATGTCCACTTGCAGCTTAGAAAAAGGAACATGACTGTTACCAAGTTTATATGATAAACTGTTAGCCACATTCATTATATAGAAGTGGATTTTTAAAGTGTTAGACCATTTTTAATCATCAGCAGAAACTCCCTGCATAAACTCAGACCTTTTCAACAGCTGTCATTAAACATGTACTGACTTTTTGTTCTTTGTCCTTTCAAGCATCAATAAATTACAGGTGTTAATTAACTGCAAACAATGTGAGAAGTGCTGTTTTACCCATACTTACATTTATTCATTTTATTTGAAGTCTGTGATAATGGCCGATGTGAAATGCTTTCTCAGTCTAACTTTCAACTTAACGACAGGCTGAGAGCTGGAGCAGAGGCGGGTTTTAAACCATTACACCGCGCCCGCCTGTCAATCAGGTCAGCTACACGCCTTATTGTGGCTAACTCTTACCCTTCATCAAATCAAGACATCCCCCCTCCCCCGTACAGTGTGTGTCGATCGAGACATGAGCTAATCACACCTATTTGGTTTTTCGAACCAGGCTGTGAACATGTTAATCTCTGCTGTAAAAACAGGCTTTTTAGAATGGGTGTGTATGTGACTTCCTGTTCTTAAGGTTTGAACACACTGACCCTTCTACATCATTTTAATGAACACTCGGGAGGCGGGGATGTTCGATTACCAACAGTTTTTATTGAAAACGAACAGAGGTGCACGGTCCGGCTCAAGCTATGCTGCCAGCGTTGGAGGCGATCCTGGGCCAAAGGTCAGCGCACTCTTTGGCCACCGGGCCTGTGATGGCTGAACCTGCAGACGGACGAGGAGAGACGTCTTATTTTAGTTCATACAAAACATTCATGTGATAAAGACAGGACTAAAGGAGACACTAAGAACAGACCAGCAGATTAAATCTGTCTCATCTCTGATTGAGATCAGTCAGCCACAGGATGGCGCTGCAGTCTCACCCACAGAGAAGAATTAATTTTCCCTTCTACGACAACTCACCGAGCCACCGAGCAGGCAAAGCAAGTGCTTTTTGGAAGGGGGGGGGGGCTACCTTCAAACCATCAGATCACTTTAGAGGAACTCTAAATCACTCTGCTGCTTCAAATCAACACTGGAAATATTTTTTCTTCTTTTAAAGAGACTTAGAGTTATACATCCTGCTGGATTTAAAATGTCAGCGTGGAGGCTTTAGTATTAAAACCCTGAGAGTGAATCTCTGATGTCCAACACCGCTGTATAAAAGCTAAGCTAACAGCTTAGCATTGAGCAGCCTCAAACAAACCCACCTTTCATCTCTCCTTTGTTGTTTACTATGACCCCCGCGTTGTCTTCAAAGTAGAGAAACACGCCGTCTTTTCGCCGATACGACTTCCGCTGCCGTATCACCACCGCAGGATGCACTGTGGAGAGAGGAGCACGTTAAAGGTCATCGCTAACACACAATCAGTGCATCAAGCTAACAGTCTGGGTTATAAGGCTGTAATGAGAGTTATTCACCGTGTCGCACAAAGATTAAACATGATCGTCCAGTGTTTCACGTTCAGCCGTAGGTGTCTAACATTTTGTTGTTTTTTATGTTCGTTTACACGTTTGCTGCGTTTTAGGTGCCTGAAAGCGGGTTACAGAGTGCAAACTTTTTGAAAATGGCAGTTTCTATCACACTGTAAATATGAAGTTCCTCCAAGAACAGAGACTTTACAGACAAACACATGTTCTCTTTGTAGTCACTCTGAGTAACAACCCCATTCATCACCCGTCCACACAAACATTCATGCGTTTGTATGTTTACACCTCAGTGCTCTGGAGGAGGACAGGAGCATGATTGTGCTGTTTCATTACAAAGTCACACCAACACCTACTGGCCTGGCATTTGTACTACAGCGTTTATAAATGTTTTTACAGATCGTGTGAACATGTCATTAATAAAATGTAATTTAAACGTAAAACTTTTGAAAAAACGTGGCCTAAAACAGAAAATCTGGTTTCGTTACAACACTACGAAGGACAAATGTTTTGTTATTATTAGAGCGGTCAGCTGACGAGACGAGAAAAGTTGGGAGGAGCGGGACCATAAAGGGCCGATTCAAACCGACGTCCGCTGTGTCCAGGCCTGCTGCCTGTGTATTAGGGCATCATAACTGCTAGGCTACCCGGCGCCATTAGAAGCTTTTCAATGCTAAATCAGCATAAGGAGAAAGCTGCTGTTTCTTTTCAATTAATTTGTAATTCCAGAAGGTAAACAATGGGGGATAACCTCAACAAGGTGTACTTGAAGTCTCTTTATGTTTGGATGTGAAAGTCATAGAATACTTTAAATATAAATGTGATAAAGACAGGACTAAAAGGAGACACTAAGAACAGACCAAAGTGAGCCAGTTAAATCTGTCTCATCTCTGATTGAGATCAGTCAGCCACAGGATGGCGCTGCCGTCTCACCCACAGAGAAGAATTAATTTTCCCTTCTACGACAACTCACCGAGTCACTGAGCAGACAAAGCAAGTGCTTTTTGGAAGGGGGGGGGGGGTACCTTCAAACCTTTACCTGCACTGTCAGAACACATTAGAGGAACTCTGCATCATTCTAAAACCCTGGGAGTGAATCGCTGATGTCACACACAGGTGGTAACACTGCTGTATAAAAGCATGTTCACAGCTCAGCGCTCTGTAGGAGGACGAGATGTTTCATTACACACACCGCCACCTACTGGCCTAACATATGTACTAAATTTTATAGTTAGTTTTACAGATCGGTGTGCACAGAGGTCATTATTAAAGGTAATTTAAACGTCAAAGGTTTCCAGAAACAAAACTAATTACAACTCTGTTTTCACTGGACTGTTCTCGTGAAAACGTGGTCTAAAACAGAATCTGGTATCGTTACAACGCTATGAAGGAAACATGTCTTTGTTAGAGGTCAGCTGAATGGACACGAGATAAGTTGTCAGAAGTGGAACAACATGCAGCGAAGGGCCGAGGTCGGATTTGAACCCACAGCCCCTGCGTCGAAGACTGCTGCCTCCGTATTAAGGTGTAAAATAACCGCAAGGCCACCCGGTGCCCCAAGCTGCTTTTAATGCAAATCAGCTCAAGGAAAAAGCTGCTGCAGTTTCTTTTGATTTTATTTTCAATATTTCAGAAGGAGAATGACGGGAGGTGTATCTGTAGTTTTTGTTTCTTCATGTTCGGATGTAAAAGACGTGAGTGGAACTCAGACTCACCCTTTTTCCGGAGTTCTGGTTTGCCTTTCTTTACCGTGGCCATGACCATGTCACCCACTCCTGCAGCAGGCAGACGGTTCAGACGCCCCTTGATGCCTTTCACGGAGATGATGTACAGGTTCTTGGCGCCTGACGGACAAAGGGAGAGAGCACAAAAATAAGAACGAGAAGATCCTCAACAAATCTGGAACAAGACTCGTAAGGGTTACGGTTAAATCTGTCTCATCTCTGATTGAGATCAGTCAGCCACAGGATGGCGCTGCCGTCTCACCCACAGAGAAGAATTAATATTCCCTTCTACGACAACTCACCGAGCCACCGAGCAGGCAAAGCAAGTGCTTTTTGAAGGGGGAGAAGACGGCGTGCAGACTGACAAACACGTTTACACCACGGTAGAGTTAATTAAACCTTCAGCAGACGCTACGTCACATATAGCTTTACAATTCACTTAGCAAACACTTTTTATCCTAAGTTTTGTTTTATGAACCATGAATAAAACTGTAGCTTATAACATGTATATAATATGAACTTCTGCAGAGATGAGCTATAGTTTACAACACCGGCTTTCCTTAAAATGTTCCGCACAAACACGTTGGCCACATATTTGTATTGTTAAGAACGTGTGCAGGAGGTTTTTTTAATTGAAAACTTATTGTTGTAAAAAAAAAATATATATTGTTGCTGTTGAGTTTAATCCTCAGATTTAAATTTGGGTATTGTGACACTGAAACCTTTATTTCCTCACAAGATTAGAGAAGAGGACTCCTTTCTCATGCCTGTGCAGGAAAAAAAAAAGGGAGCGACCGAAAGGTAAGACAGACTAAAGAAACGACAGCAAGAATGGCTGTTGAAATTGAACCTGACCGAACCAAAAACAAGCATTTAAACATATTTCACTGTTAACAGGTTAGGGTTCTCTAGAATCACATTTAAAGATATAAATGAGTTTCTCTCAGAACAAAACATTCCCCCTAAGTGACATCTGCTTTAAACCTACGATCTCCTGTATTGACACAAACTAACACCTTTGATAGGAAACTGCTCTTCCTAAAAGGTGACTCTTTATACACAACGATCTGCAAACACAGTACAGTGTGTCAGGTGAGGCGTACCTGTGTTGTCGGCACAGTTGATGACCGCTCCCACTGGGAGACCCAGCGAGATGCGGAACTTGGCTCCGGACGAACCACCGCGTCCTGCAAGGAGAGGGGACACACTTTAACATGCAGCTTTTATAAAAGGTGATAAAGAGCAGCACATTGTCTAAATAAAACAGACTAAGGAATCCAAAATAAGCTATAAAAACAGAATGTGCTCAATGGTGTAACGGAGGAACTGGATAGTTCTGCAGGTTTCAGTTCAGAGAGTCTAAAACTATGAAACTGCAAATTAACTTAACCTACTGTAGAAGTTTTAAATATTCTGATAAAAGATTATTAATGTTGTCAGCTCCATCAGCTAAGACTGTTTATGTGCACTTGAAGCATGCAGCTAACGAACTATTCAAGTTTTGATCAACTTTCTCACTGGATTGTTACGTCACATACATTTGTACGTAATGTCTCAGAGCTAACGTGACCATGCAGCCAATCAAATGCTTAACTCTTGAAGATGATTTAACTCAAACTCTGACATTTCAATGTTCAACCAATTGGCCTCTACGTATGTTATGTGGAGAAACGCATCCCTGCATAGAACTGCAAACACCTAGCATTAGGACAGTGAAAGATATGGCACATTTTCTACACTGTAGTATTAAACCTCCGTCCTTAAAGTTCTTCTACAGACACTTCCACAATACACACCTAGAGCTTATTAGAAACACATTTCACAGACTTTGTCCTCACAAATCTTATCATACCGTTTTCCTAAAACTTCAGCGAGGCGCGTGCAGTTCTCGGCAGGGACACATTTCTCGACATAACACCGGCTATGATTAGCTTCCTCAGTTAGCCGTAAGCTAGCCCGTGACCTGTTCAAACTTAAAATTAATAAAACACACACTCGTTCATGTGTACAGAAATGAGACATTCGCCCTCACAACATACAACACCTCCTAACTTTACAGTGAGCCGTGAATCCACATGTTCAGCCTCTCGCTTCTCTTCGTGCGCTAACAGCGAAACATGGCTAACCGCTAGCTAACACAGCCGTCAAACTAGCATCCTCCATAACTCGAATAATATTTAAATAAACAAAAAACTAATCACGCAGACATGTTGTTTTCCTCCCTCTTCAACAAACCGACAACATTTAGAGTTCCATTAGGGTGTATAAAACAGCAGATGAATGTGGATTTGATCAGGTGAGTTTCGTACCTCTCTTAGACATTGCTGCAGCAGGGAAAGAGGAAGTTGGTGAAAGGAATTGTGGGATATAAAGTTGAGCAGAGGTACATCCGGGTCATGGCGCCCGTAGCTTTCGGAATCATCGGCCTGATTTTCTTTTTGTCCAAACAGCAAAATTAAGTCGTGTTATTTTTAATAATAATAATAAAAAAATTAATTAGAGAGCATTGTGGAGGCCCGGAAGTCCCAAAAAGTTAAATAATAATAATAATAATAATGTGAATTTTTACTTCCCGGGACTTCAGGGGCTCCGCAGCGTCTTTTTTTTAATTTATTTTTATCACAGTTAGATTTATTTTGTGTGTTTGTATAAAACTCAGAGGTTTTCTCAAACATACCAAAAGTAAGAGAAGTAACACCTTTACTTTTATTTTGGTTTATTTTAAGTATGCGGGGGCTCCAGCAGAGGGCGCTCATGTTCTCCAAAAAGACAATAGTATCGAAGTATGACAAATGACGACAACTGTTGGCAAATGGAATAATAATTATCACTGCTACATTACAAGATTATCTAAGGATTAGGGCCACTTTGTTTTTTTTCTGGGGGAGGGGGGGGGGACTTTTATCTCAGAATTCTGACTTGAATTCTGAAACCAAATTTCCCCTAGGGTTTTTTAAACCAAAAAAAATCTAATTTGTGAGACCTGAGGGACACCGTACTTGGTGCTTATTCATTAGAAAACACACATAAATAAATATAACCGTTATAAATGGACTCTTTGGAGCATCTGAAGTCCCAAAAAAGTGAAAAACTAATATAAAGGCCTATTTGTGTATTTGCTCATGAGAAAATAACTTGTGCACATCCTAATTCTGTTTATGTATGTCTCTCAACAACAGAGCGTAAAAACCAGAAAACCAGAAAAAGACGTGATGATTTAAAAAGTTCAACTCTCATTCATACTTCATTAAAACAGATATTTGAGCTCTTTTATCATAGCTCGGTTTCCTTCAGGCTTCCTCATAATAAGCTTTAAAGCTTTTTAAAAAGGACATTTCTCTCTCACTTTTTGGACGCAGCAGAGACGAGCTGCACCCTGACGTGTTGAGACCAGCTGAATCATGTAACTCCTTCTTGCTGGTCTGAAACCTTCTGACACATTTGTCAAACACACACACACACACACACACACACACACACACACACATCGCTCTGTGATGTGGACGACTTCTTAACAAACAGCTGCAGGGTGTGCACGCACACGCACACACACAGAAACACACACACACACACGATGGTCTGAGAATAACGTTGTATTTCTCTGGTTCACTTTCTTCATTCAGTCTCGATCTGCAGATGAAACCAGCGGTTAAGGACTTTCCACCAACATTCAGTTCTCCTTTGTTCAAAGTCCGACTGTTCCTCGAGAAGTGAAAACGAAGTCTGTGTTGAGAAACAAAGTCTTTGCAAGTACTTGCAGGTTTAAAGATACTGAGACTTAAACTGTCATTAGATAACGGCTGAGGGATTCTGGGATTGCATTTTCACAAATATGATGGTCCCCTTTTGCTCTCCACATGAACGATTTCCCTGCATACAGCCAAAAGCATGCTGAGCGATGGTGGACAAAACAACTCGGGCTATGAAGGTAAACGCTCTGATCATGAGCCTGCAGATATTTCTTCCTCTCTTTCTTCCTCGCGCTCTGCTCGCTCGTTGAGCCGTGGAGGCTGATTATTAAAGCTTAAAGGTTTGTGTCAGACTGACAGGCAGGCCTAATCAAACCCTGTGATACAGTTTGGATCTGATGGACCGACTGCCCTGAACAGCTCATTACCTGCCTCAACAGGTGACAAGATTTGAGTCCTAGACGGCCAAGCTTATTAGAAACATGCAGAGGCTTTTTAGGTCAGGTACAATCACTTCTATCTGAACCAGTTCTCTTGCCCGCTACCATCGCTGCAACAACCTGTTGGTTTGACCTGATAACTGCTCTCATATCTGCCAAACCGAGGGGCGTCCAAAACGGCCGTGTCGGGGTCGCCTTAAAACTACCTACCTTCTCTGGTCCAAACAAATCCAGAGCATTCAGGACCAGAATCTAAAGTTAGAAGGAGGACATACTGGCTGCTGCATTGTTGTCAGAGAAGCCAGCACTTCAACATAGCACGTTTCCTTAATGTCTGATCATATAGTAAGATCACTTTATCATTTCACTCACTACACATCCCACTGATTGGAGCTTCAGCGTGTGCTGAGTCAGGTCTGTGCAGACAAACAGTCTCCAGGAAAAGATCCCAAACTGTAAACTCCGCTCGGACATTTGACATTTGCGTCAGCTGTCAGAGCGCTCACAGATTGAAAAGAACCTTTTCTGTCTGACTGAATTATCTAAAGAGGAAGTCTAATCCTCATTTTGACACATTCCTGACAGACAAAACACAAAATGTCAGAGCATCCTTTTCTTTCTTCACAATCACAAATCTGTACACCAGCAGTCACAGCTTCAGGGGTTCAGAGAGGACTGGAGAGGCCTGTGAGTCAGCATGGAGGTGTTCTTATGACTCAAACCTCTCGTCCCACTGGTTCACCTCTGGCTCCAGAGTTCAGTTCAAAAAGGAACGGATGTCGTCTCGTTGGCTGGGTGAACTTTCTAAGTACAGTCTGTGGTGATGAAGAAGTTAAAGCAGAGACGAACACAGCAGCTCCTTCATCTGGTTGGTTGAAAACTCTTGTGGTTCGGGTGGTCACATCTGCTCGGTGTTCTTAGCTCCACCCACAGGGGGCGGAGGAGGGAGCTGCAACAGAGGGACAGAGATCATCAGCAGACGAGGGTTCAAGATAAAAAACAAGTTTCTGTTCTTTCCTGGTGCAGTGGAACTCAAAGAGGTAACTGAAGTTTTAAAAGAGCTACGACGGGACGTTTGACTCTTAGGAGAAGCAGAGATGTTAAATCGAGGGAACATCAGAGACAGACAGAACGGCTTAGAAGAAGAGTCTGCAAAAACAAGCATCATCTGCTCATATATTTCATTTTCAGCTCGTGTGTTCATGTTCTTGTTCTGCTGATTTGCATCATGTGAGAAAGTTAAAGTTACTTTGTGTGACGCGGTCTGAGAACCAATCAGGGTCGAGATCAGTTGAAGATGAGACAAGAAGTTGTTTCTTGTCTCATCTTGCAGCAAGATGTGCAGATCTTGAATGTTTGGATGTTCATTAAAGGGATACGTCACCCATTTGCATTAAGGGTTAGGGTTAGGGTGCTGTGCATTCTGGGATTTGGTGTCTTTCATCCACATGAGCCAAAAAGACACTTTCTGCCTTTTGTCGGGCAAGAAGGCACCAACTTCAAAATGTATTTCACATTTCTACTACATATATGACCCCATGTCAATACAGATTCATGTTTCAACGAGTGAAGTATCCCTTTAAGTTGCACTTTTCACATACAGCAGCAGGGGGCACTGTATTGCCTGGTGGTGATATTGCGTGCACCATGTATAGAGGCTGTGGTCCTCGTCAGAGCAGCTGTAAATTTGAATCCGACTGCACGTCGTCCCCCACTCTGTCCTCCCAACATTTCCCAGGTAGTGCAGCAGTGTAGTTTCATCCACCTTTCAGCGTGACATTAGAGGCATTACGTCTTCAGAATTACGATTGAAGAATCACTCCCACAATTCCCTGCTTACCTCGAAGTCATCTTTTGTTACAGTTTTGATTGAGAGCCCCCTGGTGGTGGAATTGACAAACTGTGCCTTTAATTATTTGGTTTAAATCAGACTTAAATCTTCAGCGTCCTCGTCTCTTGATATCTTGAATGAGTTCATGATGAAAGCAGCGATTTGTCAGAACAGGACGGGCTGCACACTCTCAGGTATTTGTTTGCGTGTGTGAGTTCTTGTAGCTCTGGTTTCAAAGTCTCCTCCTGAAGTACCTACACAGACTACAGCTGTCAGACTAACTCTGAATAATTAAGATTCAGTGTCCTTCCTCTGCACGCTGTCGTCTCTTATCTCATCATGGATGGGGGGGGGTCGAGATGTGCTCTGGCTGTCAGACAGGAGCTCAGTGAGTCCAGCCTGTGACCTTTACTACATCTCTCATCCCCTCTCCGAGCTCTGAAAAGAAAGAAAGTTCTCCAAAATGTCCCTCTCAGGCCGCTGCACACTTGACAATGAAAGAAAGAAAAGCCCGGGCGGGTTTGATCCTTTCTGTTTAAAGCTTCACTAACAGCATGTTTTCTAGGGAAGGAAATGTAGACTACAGAAGAGACATGTTTAATCATCATCACTTTTTTTCTTTTGTCCATGTCTTATAAGATAGTTTGCTCTGCAGGTTTGTGTGAAGCCTCCTTTTTTTAACTTAACCACCAATGAATCACCCCTACACGGCCGTTTTGGACACCCCTCAGTTTGCCAGATATGAGAGCAGTTATCAGGTCAACAGGTGTTGCAGCGATGGAAGAGAAGTGGTTCAGATAGAAGTGATTGTACCCAACCTAAAAAGCCTCTGCATGTTTCTAATAAGCTCCACGAGCAGAAACGTGCTCAAACTAGGATCAATATTGGAGATGCTTTTGAAAAATGGAGAGAGGTTAGAATGCAAAAAGGTTTACAGACCCATGCAGAGCTGGCTAAACACTGAAGCTTCAGTGTCCACCACATGGTGACCTGCGTGAGCATCAACTCTAGAGAGGAGGGGGGGAGATAGCTCTCTACAATGTATAGAATTTAGACTGCAGTACCCATTTTAACCACTAGGTGTTAGTTACATACCGCTCCTTTAGCGCAAAGAAGCACTGAATTATAAAGAGTCTTATTTTTTCTTTCCGTTGGCTTTTCAGTGGAGTAAAGGAAATAGAAGCTGTCAATCATCAAACAGCTGCCCCCCCCACCACCACCAAGTGGATAAAGATGCGTCTCAAAACCTCTGCAGAAGATTTGAATATCTTAAATGTGAATGCAGTTCCAGTCTGGCACTCTGTGTCGAGGATGAATAAAATCATTCAAAGACTGTGCTGACTGACACCTTTAACCAAACGGTGAGAGGAAGAAAAGAGACGCCGCAGTCTCAAGGCTGAGAGTCGATTCAGCGTCTGCCTTTTCAAAAACAGGATTATTTGTGTGTG